TATACCTATGTAAACATAACTTTGATTTTGTTGAGAGCTTTATTTATTGTGGACTTAATGGCTTTATGTATCAGTTTTTCATCTAAAAATCATGATAGCAGGCTATGGACGGTGCGACCGTAAAGAAAACAACTGATAGTACTAATAGTCGTCAAGTTGTGATTTGGCTCTAATGACGCTGGATCGAAATGTAATCCGTCACAAATTTGAAAAAATCGACGCGAATTCGAGTACACGGTTACATTTTTCCAGGAACCACTGCCAAAAATCTGTGCTGGGTTCGAGGTCATGCTCTCCGTGTGGTTTGCATTTATTTGAAACCTGGAGTTTAACGTTGATTTTTGGCAATCTTCTTAGTGTATTTAACTTTTATGTCGATGTTGCAGAATCAATTTGAACTGCTTTCATGTTTTATGTCTCGAAATTTTTTGAAAGAGTCTTTGACTGGTTTTTTTCTATCAGGTCGTGATACAAATTGCTTTCCGCGTCTGCATTTTTCCCAACTTTTATCTAACACACATTTTTTTCTCCTAATTAGCAGTTCAATGTGGTAACCACTCTATATTTAAAATAGGACTTAATTAAAAATATTAAGTACTGTTCTTGAAAAAATAGTTTTAAGGTATTTTCGATTATTCATAAACATACATACTTGTACCATTAAATTCTACTTAAGAAGATGCGTCGGATATTTTTTCAAAGAAAAAAAGTGGCAGCGATATTAAAAATAAAAATACACATTTTTGAAAAACATCGTGCAACTTTAAAACGGTAACGGATACCCATGTGCAGTGTTTACCATATATTTTTCATGAAAATTTATGCCCAAACTCTGTTATTAGCTTTCGTCCATTTCGTTTACAAAGCGGAGTTTCGCTTTAAAAGTGCCCCGAATTTGGGCCACCCTGCACAATCAATTCAATGCGCAATACAGTAGATATACGCGCGCACACACATTTTATTTGATGTTTATTTAATTCCATTGTTTGTTTGAACATTGGGAGAAAAGCGTGGGCAAACCGTCCTTGCTGCATGCGTCATATTGCTGCAGCGACTAATGAAGTTTCCAGAAAATATTGCACGCGTTGTACTGCTGCTCCGTCGTCTGTCGTCCTTACGTTCATTCATTCGAGAAAACCCGATATTATCAAAGTCCGGCTAAAAATACTTTCAATACGACGGGCGCTACGCCATGGCATCGGTGAAATAATTCCGTGAACGCGTCCTCTAACACGAGAGTATTTAAATATGAGAAGACACAGCTACAGAAATATGCACCTCCGATCTTCTTCAAAACGTCATGATTTTATAGAGATAGAGACACATAGACACATAGAGACATTCTATCACTATCACTAACATTAGATAAGTTAAATGCACATAAGTAGTTTTCCACTATCATAAAAATAAGGGTTTCAATACAGAATGCGAGATTAAAAAAAACACAGTAATTTAAGCTACTATCAATAGTTTCTAGTTTCTAGTTAATAAAAACTAGAACAAATATTTTTAAACACTATGGTGTTCTAGAACAATTACTGCAAATTAACAACCATAACATTACTTTAAACGCTAATTATATAAGGATATTCTTTTTACATGTGCCCCTCCTTTCTATTCTTATTAGACAACAATCGCAATACACAAGACGTGTAAGTTTCAGAACCAGAAAATATTTTTAAACGCTATGGTGTTTTAGAACAATTACTGCAAATTAACAACCATAACATTACTTTAAACGCTAATTATATAAGGATATTCTTTTTACATGTGCCCCTCCTTTCTATTCTTATTAGACAACAATCGCAATACACAAGACGTGTAAGTTTCAGAACCAGAAAATATTTTTAAACAGTATGGTGTTTTAGAACAATTACTGCAAATTAACAACCATAACATTACTTTAAACGCTAATTATATAAGGATATTCTTTTTACATGTTCCCCTCCGTTCTATTCTTATTAGACAACAATCGTAATACACAAGACGTGTAAGTTTCAGAACCAGAAAATTATCAAAAAAATCTTCCTAAACATATTCATTAATTTTTAATTTTTAACTTAAATTTTTGATCACACTGTATATATTTATCATTAAAATAACAACACAGGCTTTCAGTCGGAGAAATCGATAGTCCTAATGAACAACATTTTTGACATAAAATTCCAAATGTATTAGAAATGCTATCGGACTTTACTAATAAAAGTTGTTAGTTGGCCAAGGGAATACAAATATTCTCTACATGTAACAATATAATTTTATCAAATTATACTGGAACCAAGCAACTTATGTCTGGTAGTTTTATAAATACAATCGTAATCTTAAATTTTTTAAAGTTTTTTGATTTAAGGCCAAAATGATAATAGGGAGCCTGTTGTGCTTCTGTTTTTATGTATTGCTGACAATTTATATTCACTGTGACTATAGAGGTATTGTTTCGTATAATTAATGTGAAGATATTTTTTTGAATATTCATACAAAGAAAAACTGGTGTAAGTAGAGGAAAAAGTTACACTTTTACTGAAACTTAATTAAGCACTTCTTTTTTGTTTGTGTTCTTAGTTTTTAAGTGTTTTTTGTGGAACTATTAGCAATATTAATATTGCATTTTTAATATTATTATATAAATTTCTTTTCCAAAGTTGCGCAGTTCTCGGAATTAATAAATTATTTTTTTATTATTTAATGCGTCTCTGTAGACTTTTCACGTTCATTTCGTTCTCAATCTTTTGTGATATTTTAGCATAGTTTGAAAATTTGCAGTATTTTGTTCTTAAAAATGTGTATACCCCAAAAAGTACTAAGTATGTGAACTGTGAACTATAGAGGTATTGTTTCATTTAATTAATGTGAAGAGATTTTTTTAAAAATTCATACAAAGAAAAACTGGTGTAAGTAGAGCAAAAAGTTACACACGAAAATTTTGTAAAGACATTTATTTACTCAAAAAATGAATGGATTTGTGGATATAATATTTCGTGAACTTATTAATTTTTCGACTTAATTAGATACATCCCCCTAAGTGAACACCCAAAAACTTCTTCGATATTTAAGAGCACTTCGAAATAATCTGTTAGAGTTACAGTTTTGGTTGAAGTAAGTTGTTTTGCAAGAATTGCAGAACACCTTAAAAAAATTCCCGCGAACCGCCACTGCGCACAAACATGTTTGAGATATTGGTTAAAGAACTTAGCTTTGTTTTTTATTGTGCTGTCTAACAACAATTAAGGATGACTGTGTATTTTATTCTAATTAAAGGCTAGAGAGTTTTTGTTACACTCCTAATATAAAAAATTAATCCAAGATTCAACGCAGTGAGTGTCGAAATCACAATTTGACAACTACCAGTACGCATTTGTTTTCTGTATCATGGCTGCGTCGTCCAAAGTTTACCTGGTTAAAGTGATAAAAGTTTCCTATTTCAAATAGGACTCAAACCTAAACAGCAACTATATGTACTATATTTCTCGAAAGTTAATTTCAAGTTATATTATTAAGTTAATATTATTTTTAAACTCTAAACAACTAAACTCTGCGCAGAAAAGTTGAAAAGTTTTAAAATGTTTTCAAATTACAAATAATACCAAATTGAAGCGATTTTTTAAAAATGCACATTTTTTGAAAATCACTAACAGATATTCCTAAAAGTGTTCAATTTGACCCACCCTCTACAGATTTTTCCCAGATTCAGTAACAAGATTTAAGAATTATTTTCACATTGAAATACTTTTTTTTTTCTATGAACATGTATCCGCAAACGTTTTGGAGTAGTTTTACAGTGTTTTATGTTTCAAGACTTTCCATTTTCCACCGTTAGGTTAAAGAAATTAAAGCAAAAACAACAAATACATTTATTACTTAATACACAAATTACTAGTGAAAAAAAAAACAAATAATCAAAATGAAAATAGCAGCCACATATCATTACTTTTTACTTAGCGAAGACTAAAAAAAAAGATTTCCATTTTTTTGTCGATAATTGTGACCGATGCAAAAATTCATTTTGTATTTTAGAATCCATCGCGCTCTCTAAAAAATATCTCCCCGTAATGTAATCCCTAAAATGTAATGTATACTTTAATTTTCTTCTATATAAATGAGTAAAATGTGCCCCTAAGATCTTGATATCCCATTTTGTCCCATTATTGTACAAAATAATTTATAGAAACAATTGCTTCTCTATGGTGGGCGCGACGTTTCAATATCCAGTTGATATTTATCGTTGCCAAAATTACCGAGTTATTTATGTATGATCCTGGCAAATGTCATTTACTGGACTTCGTAAAATATAAATCAACTATTCAAAAGTATTGAAGGTAGAGTTAAGTTTATCAAAACAAACAAAAATGTTTAATTTTCTATAAATTAAAATCAACGCATTTCTTTAAAAGAAAAATTATAGGTTTGTCTTAGCTGAGAGAAAAAGAATTTTTAAATTTGTTTCGGCTGCGTATAATTTTGCCGGCCTAAAATGAATTTTTAAGATGAGCGAAAATGCTGCTGAAGGCTAGAAAGGAAAGAAAAATTTGAATTTATTCTTGTCCGGATGGTGGATGGCCCTGTAGCACCATAAATTCTGTAATATTTTTTTGATTCTTGTATCTGGGGTTGTAAACTGTAATTTACCATTTCACTTATTATTTAATTGCATTTAAATCGAACTCACAAATTAAAACTATTTATGAAACAATGTTAAGCAATTACTTATTTTTAGAAAATTGTTAGTCGATGTATTAATCTCATCTAAAACTTGCCCCTCTCTAAATCCAAGTGTCCTGAAAAAAAATTATACTTATTTTTTCATCCACGTATGTCCACACGTCTCTTCATACATAAGAAAAAGGACACTGCACAATTGAAATATACCATATGCTATGAATTTGCAAATTGCTTCTGAATGTTGAAGGTGCTTCGTTATTACTTCGCAAATCTCGCAAATAAATATGCTGAGAGAAGGGATTGTATATTAGTATAAGATAATCTACGAATGACTTTTGCAGGTTCAAACCAATCTTTACACTCTGCAGAGTTGTCTGACTTCGATGATGGGCAGGGAAATAACTATAGAGCAGCTGCGCCAGGATGTTGGGCTCATGATTGAGAAGATCACTCATGTGACGCTCATGTTTCGTCAAATTAAACTCACAATGGAGGAGTATGTGTGCCTTAAAATTATCATTATGCTGAACCAAGGTAAACATTGTTCCGAAATTTTATATCGGTTTTGCAATTCATCATTTCAAATTAATCGCTTTTGCAATATTTTCCCTTCATTTTATAGGTTCTTAGTTGATATTTTGGTCACTTCTAATTATTTTACCGGTGAAACGTGTCGCAAATAAAATAATTTTCAATTTGATTTTCAGCAAAACCTGCAAGTAGTACGAGTAGTAGCGAATTGGAAGCGATTCATGAGAGGTACATGACTTGCCTTCGTGTGTATACTCAACACATGTATCCCCAACAATCCACACGTTTTCAAGACTTATTAGTTAGATTGCCGGAGGTAATTTATCAAAGATTCATAAAAAAAAACAGCCAAACCATTTTTTTGTTTAGAGTATAACAGTCTCCTTTGTCGTCCTTTGGAACTACCTTGGTTCTATTTGGAACTACTGATTCTAATTTCTCCAGATTGTAGATATTAAAAATTTAAAGCTTAAGGAAAGATCTCCACAGCACCATACGAAATATTTTTTTCAGTAGGGTAATATTTCGGTACTTTTGCTAAATATGACGGTATTTCATAAAACCTAACCCCATTACGTTAAATTTGCCTTTTCGAACGTAAAACACGTTCCTTGGATGAGTTTTTTCATTATTATAATAAATGTAAATAATAATAATTTTTGATATGGAAAGAAGTTTTTGAGGTAACAAAGTTTTAGTGATATTGGTAGTTGACAGTAAGAAAATTATTACCAGTACATTGAATTATCATTTAAAAAACCGACGAAATTTTCTAAAAACAAATAAAATTCGATAATTATTTTAAATATTTGTCGCCCTCATCTCGAAAATTAAGCAGTAACCTGAAATATATATAATTTTTGTTGCGCTGCTATCATAAACTGACACGACTTGTTTAAGATACTTGTAAAAAAAAAGATAATAAATTAATAAATAGAGTAACCATAATGTCAAAATATTTTTAAAAAAATCATATTTTTGATATTTGATTATGACCTAGACCAGACAAAAGGATGGTTTGAATATTTCTAATTTTGCAGCGCGTATAGCATGCTAATCATCTCTTTTATTTCGCAGATTCAGTGTGCCGCATCTCTGTTATTAGAAAGTAAAATGTTCTACGTTCCTTTTTTACTAAATTCGACGATTCAAAGGTAGTAGGAAGTCGGTGTAGAGAATTAGGTAAATATTTTGAAGCGATTTTATGAATTATATATGTATTTAAAAAAAATCTTTAAAAATGTATATAATAGAAAAGCGTATACATATTTTCCCGACGGCCAGCGGGAGAAAAATCTATTACGAAAATGCAATGTTTTATTTGTTAAATCGATATTCGTTTTTTAAATATCATGTTATAAATGTATAAATTAATTGAAGAGAATAAGTTGAGGTTCGTACTAAACTCCTGATCGTGATATAAGAATACCAGACCGGTATGTCTTAGTAATAAAGTCGATGTACATTTAAGTTTGTGGTCGCAGAAGAAAATTTCGTTGATAAAGTTAAGTGCTAGTCAAAAAAAAACATATTTCGTGCAATACGTATTAGGTATTTTCCCTCTAGTTCTTATAATGTTCCGTTATAGGCTCGCCTTTTACTTTTGTAATTTGTAACTAACCAAGTTAGTTAAGCTGTCAGTGACATATGGCGTATGGTTTAATTTAACAGTGTGAATTAGGCACGTTAGTACTGCTGAAAGTAGATGAGCATCGATTAGGGACCACAACGAGTCACACAAATTTGGTATTTTCAATTTCAATCCGGAACTCTGCACCATTAAATTCAAATGTACTCTTATCACTGAGACCTGAATTTTGAAATTTCCCAAACAAATCGCTAAACGAAGCGGTTTATTTTAAACTGACAGACGTGTTATTTGGAAGAAAATATATGTTATATATTCTTTAAGCTAGGACGTCGGTCACGTAGCCAATAGGTGCCCAGTTTACTCGGCTTAGCTTTGCCGAAATTAATTTTACTGATTTTCGTAAGTTGGTTTATCAGTTCTTCAGATTTATTATTTCCCAAAAGTATTGTTTTCGGTTTGATGTTACTTTTTAATACAACTTGTGCAAGATTCGCAGTATCTATATTCAATTTTTTATCCAGAGCAATGAAAGTACAAAGACTTGCTCGTAAAATGAATTAGAAAATCGTTCCAGATCTAGATAAAACGAGATTATCCACTATAACAGTTTAGTTTTGGTATTTTGCTCAAAGTAAACTGGGCAAAAAAAACAATTATGGAAGTTCCATATTCTCAACACGAAAATATTTTGCGGGGTATCCGCTACATAAGTCTGAGTAAGTTGCCTTGTGTATGTAAGAAAAAGGAGTGCAATTTGACTTTGAACGACTTCCAATAACTTTGGGCTTCATGGTTTTTGACGACTGCTATTTATATTTAAGATTAATTAGGTTATTCACACTTACTATTTGTTTAATTAGGAATTTCATACGTACCATTTCTATTAAACATTAGATGTTATCACAACCACTTTGTGAAGAGGGAAGTAGAATCGTTTGTGTTAAAAAAAATACTTACCCTTTTAAAGGAAATAAAAATTCATTTTAGGAACCATCAAAAATCAAAGATATTTTTATTTTATTTTTTAATGGATCCATAGACGAACATACGTATTTCAGTTACATTTCATCATCGTTCGCATAAATTATTATAATCTACACGCAATCATCAAGTCCAATGTAAAAAAAATCTGTCACTGCCGGTAATAAAACACTGCCAATGTTGTTTTGATAGCAATTAATAAAAAATACTGCCGATCAAATCAGGTACTTTAATCGAAACGGTAAGACTGCCACATCATTTCATCAAAAAATTAGCAAAACATTCCTGATACCTGTATTAACAACAAAGTAAAAGTCAAATTGTAACCCATCCTATCTTACATTTTAGAATTATATATATATTTACATGAAGCGGTATAAAATATAAATGTAACGCCTATAGCGAAAAAAAAATTGTACCAAACCATATGGACAGCAAAATAGTCGTGTTTGTGTTTGATCGTTTATTAATCAGCGAAGTTACCTGTTGTGGGTGTCGCTATGCAGACTCAGTGGACCCAGTTTTCTATTAGATCACGTTTCTGTTTTTATAAGTAAATTTTTGAAATCGTACATTACATAAATATTCCATTATTTCTTATGCCCTGTTATACACTAACGACTTTAATTCTTTTTATTTATTTCAGCTCAAAAACGTTCCTCAGATCGGGCATAGCGACACCTTTTAGTTATAATATGACGCTACATTAAACCATAATCCGGGCGTATAACGTGTAAATATACTGCCAGTTCTGTATACAAAATATAAAAACCATTAGTTTGTAATTAATTCGATTAAAATATATCTACATACGTCACATTATGGCTTTCTGTACAGTTGTATGTATATATTAATTTATTTAGTTTTCAAGAGTCCATATATAAATATATTTCACGTATGACTGCCAATTTTGTACGTTAAAGTTACCAGTGCAACCAAGTATGTGTACAAAACATGGTTCCTTGAATGAGTTAAAGCAAAACTTTTGTTCCCCACATTGTAAAGTTTTTTTTGTTTCATATTTATTTCCAAACAATCTATAGTCATATATTTTTGGTACATAGAAAGGGAGAGAAAATTTAACCTACTGTATATTTCGAAGAAAGCACGAACGAACGAAGGGCCGCTCTTATCCAGTTTAATGAAGCTAACCGCAACAAGACTTTTTCTTTAAAAAGTAATACCACAACCAAAATACAATAATGACATCTGAAAGAATAGTTGCAAGCTACATAATATACAGAGTAAGTGGAGAAAGTGTATTTTACAAATATGCGCAGGTTTCTATTATGATGTGGAGTTTTAGTTAGTTTTGGTGTGTTGCTAAAAATTAGATTGTTTTCGTAATTATATATCTTTCTAAACAAGAATAATTTTTTGTAATAACACTGGCTAAGCTTCCATTCCATATTCTCAACAAAAAAGTATTTTGCGGGATATCCGCTACAAAAGTCTGTGTATATAAGAAAATAGAGCGTAATTTGACTTCGAATGGCTTCCAATAATTTTGGACTTCACAGATTTTGACGACTGCTATCTATATTCAAGATTAATTAGGTAATTCATACTTACTATTTCTTTAATTACGAAATTCATACTTACCAGTTATATTGAGTACTATATGTTACCATTTGGGAAGGGGGGGGGGGGGGTTCAATAATTTCTATTGAAAAATGTATTTACCATTTTTCAAATTTTTTAGAAAATAAAAAATCAGTTTAGAAACTTTCAAAAATCTAAAATTATATATTTTGTAATAGACCACTAGTTTTTTTACGATTGTGTCATTTTTATATCACCTTATCACCTGATTGACTGAAACAATATTTTCGTTGCACACTTAAATATTTAACAATTTATATTGCTGAATTTAGAATCAAACAACTATAAAAAGAAATGTTTGATTAGGTTATTTGTTCGACTATATTAGAAAATTGTAGATTATCAACAACTTTGTTGTAAGCCATTTAAACACTGTGATTTTTGTGTGGGCTCTTGAGACAAGCTGGCATATTGTATTGTGAGTTGTAGTAGTTTAACGCAATAAATATCTATTTTTTTTAATATAAATTTTTGAAAGTTAGAATTGAAAAACAAAACAGTTCCCAATGAGTATTTCCATCTCGTGCGATATAAAAATTGGAGTAATCGCATTTGAAATAGTAAGAAATCTATTTAAAAAAATTGTTTCCTTCGAAATATACATCCCCACCGAAAAAAAAAAAACGCGTAAAACCATTTACATAAGATAGCTGTACTTATCACTTTTGCAAAGGCAACAGAGTATTTTTTAGTTTGTTCGAGGTACTCGATGTGATTTTGTTTTTAATATAATTATATAAATATACATATTTTTTTCTTGTAAAGTTCTGTTCCTTTTGCAAACTAAATGATTAATTGATGTATTTATTATGCATCGTCTTGAGTTACCGTTATCCTTTTTAAGTTTATATGAGCTTGTTTATTAGAAAATAAAGCCGAATAAAGTACCGTTTAAAATTATTTCCCCCTTCCACTAATTCACAATTCAACTCTGTTCGAAAAAAATCCATACTTCCAATCAATATTTTATTTAAATATACCTATCACAGTAATAGAAAACACATAATAAATCAATATCACTTAATTATTTAATCCTAATTTTATGTCATCTCGATTTGATATGCTAAACAAATTATTGCTTTGTAATACACCATCAAAAGTATTAAAATTACCAATGAATACATTGTGATTCTTGCAGCTACAACTTTTCATCAATAACGAAAATTTAGCGATGAATCGCGATGTATCCAGTTTGTCTAAATTAAGAGAAAATCTATATAAGTAAAACGACACGAATATATTTGAAAGTCTGTAAATATAGCATGCACGACTAGGGATAAAATCGATATATAAAATTTGAAAATATATTGAGCCAATATTTGATTGAAAAATTGATCACGTATTGTTTTTAATAAAGGTCACTTTCTAAAATATTTACATGAGCAATTAGTGGAAATAGTCTATTCAGAGATTCTGCTATTCAACAACTTACAGGACAGCGAAATTTTTGTAAAAACATCAAACATTACGGCAAGGTCTTGCAGTAGAATCACTCCAATGAAGTTATTAAGTAAATGGAACTGAACTTTTGCGCTCAAAGAGTCAATAAAACTATTTACTAAAATATTCTTCTTAGTATCAATACTGGAAGTACCATAAGCAGTTGTTGATTGCATGATACTGTTCGGTATATCGCGACTCTATTGCATTACCATTTATAACAGAATTTATATACAAAAGTAATTTCTTACCTCTAAATATTGACCACAACACCCAAGTTTATATAAAAGTTTAACTTTATATAATATTTGTCTCTCACAATCAATTTAAGACATAATCCGACAAATATACATATACCGTAAAAAATTAATATTAAAGCTTTTCAAGGAATTTAAAAAATAAATTTATGGAATCAAAAAAATATTTTCATATAATTTTGTATAAATGATTGGCACAATTCGTTCTGGTAAATGAGCATTTTTGCTATCCCGGCAGGTTCTCTATTTTAGAGAAACTATTCACAACCCCTCCACAAGAAAAATATATTATAGGAAAGAAAGCAACTCAGGTACACATTCGATCACACACAAACTCACAAAATATTGCACCAAACTCACATATCACACATACCAAAGCAATCAAGAGTCCATGTGGCCATTATGTTTGTTCTCTTTGAGAATGTCGCTCGAGCCAAATGGACTTGGCATTCTTTGATAGTGTGGTTTCAGAGAACTCACAGGCCTTGTATAATCCAGATGATCATATTCCAGTTCTAAATCAAACAAACAATTTAATTAACGTTACACCCACACTACGAATATAAAAGCAAAATGCGGAATTAAATTTACATGAAATAAAAATTTCTTACCAATTTCTTTTGCATCTTTTTGTTTAATTTCATCGTACACATGATCCAATTTCTCGATGCTGTGATAAACGTTGGGATTTGTTGCGTCTGCTTCTTTATTTTTAAGAGTTCTCAATTCGTCAAGGTTTGACCCATATGACCCTGTATTTGAAAATTTATATACATATATATATATATATATATATATATATATATATATATATATATATATATATATATATATATATATATATATATATATATATATATATATATATATATATATATATATATATATATATATATATATATATATATATATATATATATATATATATATATATATATATAATAAATATTAAATTCGTTTTCCTATATATTAAAAAAAAAATAAAAAAGTTTTTAGCTATCACAATTATAAATTTCATTTAAGAAAATATTTTTATTATTTAATTATATATCGATTTTTTATTTTGAAGGATTCCAATTTCACACTTAGTTCATACTGCTAATAAGAAATAATTATTAAAAAAAAACAATAAATGCCAATGCCACAAAAATGTGCTAATTGAATTGAAATACTCAGAAAACAGCATAAAGCTATGATCCCCTGATGTTCACCATAACAAATACATATACGTAATTAACAGATAACACGACGATTTTCTCAACAAAGATCTGCTTAATAATATTGGAGTGTAATATTACATCCAGCCTGGAGCAGAAATAATACAATTGGTGACGGGGAGCCAAATGATTCAGTTTTCCAGAATCAAAAATATTTGAAACAATCTACCAAAGATTGATCAAAACATTCTATAGATGATTTGAAGAGAATGAGTTGTATTTTCCACCATATGGTCCAAGCTTATTTTCAAATTCAAATTTTCCATTTAGACATGGCAACTGATCGAAAAAATCATGTCGCTCCAATAACTTACAAATAAACATATAAAAATAACAATTAAGTAGAGCACGCTTGAGATCAGTTGCACGATTTTACTTTATGCTTCTACATTACTAGTGTAAATCTATAGCAAAAAGGTTTACGAACGAAGGAAAATGAAAAATAGAAGTCATGAATGGTGAAGATTATTTTTATTAATTACTTTAAATTGACTGCCGTCTACACAACTAAGCATAGTTCAACAACTTTTTAGGGTCACCATTCACAGGAATGACAAATGCCAAATGCTATAAATTTTTTGTCACCCAGCTGTCTCTTTGTTTAAACTTGGACCCAGAATTATTTGTAAGCGTATCATTTCTTAAAACGAAAAAAAAAATTGGATGACTGATGAAAAAAGAAGAAAATATAAAAACAGAGATAAAGGAAAATATAACAAGATTAATAGAAGAATTAAACGTGAAATGAAAAAGGCCAAACAGGATTGGGTGAAGAAACAACAAATTATTGGGCAGAGTACGTCGCAGAGTTATTTCAGGATGATAGTATCAATAGTATATACAACAAACGAAGACGAACAACGCGAAGTCTTAAAGATACTAACCTCTAAAGCCAAACACGCCCTTAAAAATTGTAAAAACAAAAACTGCAGGTAGAGATAAGATACAAATTCAACTTCTAAAATCACTTAACAATGAAAATACAATCACACTCAGCAACATACTTAACAATATATATACATCAAAAAACATTCCACCAGAATGATTAACATCAACACTCCTACCTCTACTTAAAACGAACAATCTGAAATCAGGAAACACCTTAAAAGTAATATCCGGAAAATGCGAAGAACAATTAGATCATTCACAATTTGGCTTCAGAGGAGGTATGGAAACCAGAGAAATCTTATTCGCAATGACAGTTCTCCAAAAAAGTCGCGAATACAATAAAACTGTTTACATATGCTTTATAGACTATCAAAAAGCATTTGGTAGAGTCTAGCATACGAAACTCATAGATGAACTGAAGAACATTCAACTTGATGACAATGATATAGCACTCATGAGAAAGATATACTGGAACCGAACAGCCACTGTGAAAATAAACGAAACGGAAACAAACGGCGTGCGTGCCTATCCAGCGAGGTGTTAGGCAAGGGTGTCTACTTTCACCTGCACTCCTCAATTTATATTCACAGATAATATTTCATCGGGCCCTTTGGGAAAGAGAAGGTGCTACGATAGGAGGTGCAAGAGTTAATAATATATAATTCGCGGACGATAGAGCAATCATGGCTGAATCCCTGGAAGACCTACCATTACTGGTGAACAAGGTCAATAACGAAAGCATTAAAATGGGACTTAAAATTAATACTGTAAAAACTAAATTCATGACTGTCTCGAAAAACTCGGTCAATCAAGGTCACCTAATGATAGAAGGAAAACTCGTAGAGCGCGAAGATAAATATAAATATCTAGGAACTTATATAACTTCAGAGCTAGACCAAGATCACGAAATAAGAATCAGAATCGAAATTGTGGGGCAGTCTTTCTTAGATTTAAAACAATATTCAGCGACAAAAATCTATGCCTTAAACTAAGACTAAAGTTTATTGAGTGCTACATAGGCTCTCAAAGGCACAGAACATCAAGAAACTAGAGTCTTTTTAAATGTGGGTGTATTGCAGAAACCTTAAAAATACTTTGGACTACTAGAATTACTAATGAGGAAGTGTTAAGAAGAACAGGACAAGAAAGAAAATTGATTATGATCAAACAGAGAAAAAGAGCTTATCTGGCAAAGAAACTTCAGAGACTCGACTCAGATGAGAGGAGGAGAGCTGTTTCACGTTGTAAAAGACAAAGACACATTTAGAAAAGTGCTCGCCAACCTCAGTTAGGAGAGAGCACTGGAAGATCATTTCTTAGCTTGGCGTGTACATTCACATTTTCTACTAACCTTTAGACAAATCATCATCGTCCGTTGAGCAACATGCCATACCCAACCTCGCTCTCTCCAAATTTGTGTTGGGTTTATGCAAATTATTGATAATCATGTTTGAATTGTTCAGCAGCGTTTCATTATCTCGTTTCCCGCCTCCCTGATAGGAATACACCGGATTATCAAAATGATTACGATCTGAAACAAAGCAAAGAAAATGTAAGTCGAGCCGACACGATCCTGTTGACCAATTACCTGAAGAGAAACCCATCGGATCGGCAATATATTGAACGTGAGCGATTTCCGTTTTCAGATTTAGCACCCGCCGTTTGTAGTAGAAAATAACTAACACGACAACCGCACAGAATATTATAGACACTATAATAACGGCCACTATAACGCCATAGTTTGACCCGTCTTCTCTTGTTTCAAGCCTTAGAAGATTCGACTCGTCGCAATCATTGCCGGTGAAACCATGTTTGCAAATACACCCGTCGGCGGGGTGACAAATGTAGTTGTCATTTTTACACTCGCAGGGTGTCATGCAGTGATCCCCAAAATAACCCTCAGGGCAAACTAAAACGGAACGTTTAACATGAGGGTTCAAACGGACTATAATGACTCGCTTACTTCTGTACACTGGCTCCCGGTCCATCCCGGTTTGCATCTACAAACACCGTCGTTTCTCCTGCATTCTCCGCCGTTCAAACATTTGCAGTGCTGGCTGCAATTAATTCCGAATCTCCCTGGTTCGCATGGTATTGAGCAATTCTTTCAACCCAGCCAGGTAAACATTGACAAGCACCTAATATGAATACCATTGAAAATTACAATTAGTTACGCATAGAAAAACTTAAGACATACCAGTAACATGGTGACAGTCTCCGCCGTTTTTACATGAACACTTTTCCAGACAATTCTTTCCATAGCTACCAATCGGACATGGATGCTCACAAGTAATGCCCATAAACCCAGATGGGCAAATGAAGTCCCCTGTGATGTGATCACAGGTTTTATTCCCTAGGGAAGTTATAAAATTTAAATTGGAAAAAATAAAACGCCCATTCAATGTTACCTAAAGGCACCTCGGGACATTTTTGCCTACAACCGATTCCATAATAACCTGGATTACAAGGACTGCTGCAGTCATCCCCCTGCCAGCCCCTGTCACAGTAACAGACTCCAGTCTCGGGATTACAGGAGCTATTGTTCCGGCAGTTGCAGTTCTGTTCGCAACTTGTGCCGAATTTTCCAGAAGGGCACTTAGTCGTCTCGCACATTGTTCCTAACAATTGAGTTATTTAAAGTGACCCATTTAAATTGCCAATTTTTCAAAAAATATATACAGAGTTCTCACAATTTTTCTTATCAAATTTTAAGTTGCCAGATCTACTGTAGAATATTCTATTCCCATATATATATATATATATATATATATATATATATATATATATATATATATATATATATATATATATATATATATATATATATATATATATATATATATATATATATATATATATATATATATATATATATATATATATATATATATATATATATATATATATATATATATATATATATATATATATATATATATATATATATATATATATATATATATATATATATATATATATATATATATATATATATATATATATATATATATATATATATATATATATATATATATATATATATATATATAT